CAGATAACTGATTTCTATCGGTCATATGCCCCTAAAATGATTCTGTGGAATTAATTTTTTCTATCTCTTTGGCATTAAAAACTTTTGAAGTCCATAATAAGTCTTCCGTTTAAAGATTTGAGTTTACGTTCGAAAACAATAAAATAAAATGAGAATAAATAACAATATTAACAACTTCAACGGAAATAACGACAGTAAAAACTTCTACGCTTCCGCGTACCACAATTGCATATCCGAAACGCCGTTCCTTTATACTTATTAAAATATTGTTGAAACGTTAATTTGATTTTAGAACTTATTATTGTTAATCATAAATTATGTGCCCAATAGTGACAGCGTTTCAATATAATTTAGCAAAATCAGGCTTATATCATTTATCAAGTTTGACTTGTAAAAGTTTACTTAAGTATACTTAAAAAGAATGCCGAAAAGAACTTATTCGATCAATTAATATTTTATCGGCTGTAAAATGAATAAGAAGCTTTTGAAAATTAATTAAACTAAATATGAATATAATTTATTTTGCTATAAAAAAACTATCTCCATGTGTTATTAATAGTATAGAAAAGTTATAGTAAACCCTAAAATTATTTTATTACTATTTGTCGTGCCTTTCTAGACTTATAATTTAATCATAACTTTTAAAGAGAAAAACAAACAATATAAAACGCCTGATAATCATACCGGACGGTAAAATTAAGTATGATAATTTAAATCAATCAACAAATTACAGTCATGAATTTAACTACGGATTTTTATTTCATTATTAAAATATTACGTATGAAATAAAACAATCCACTTTGGAAAAAATAGATCATTTCAAGAATACAGTTAATATACAATTTTAAACTATGTGTTGTCTAACAGATTAAGTGCCTTGAAATCCGTTGTCTTTCTTTGTTCAAATTGGTAAGTCAATAAAGTTGCTTTAGATTAATGTATGCTATCTTTTAGTCAAACAACATTAAAATCTTAAAAAAACGCGTTTAAGACTGCAGCTGTTGTGAATCTAATTTAGTTTTCCTTTTTATTTCTGTATCCAAAGTATAATTTAAACTCACTTTAAAGTCAGTTTTGATTTACTCAAATCACTATAGTACTTTTATGTATTTTATTTTTCTAAAAAAAATAATGGGCCTATATTTTCATTTACTTTACAAAAAAAATCTTAACAGTGACAAATAAAATTAAATTTGAAATGTATTTTTTTATTAAGTTCTTGGTGAGTCGACTTTAAACAGTACAATTAAAAAAAAATTAATCCGCTAAAATGCTTATCTGGGGCGTCCAGAAAAAATAAACATACGGGTGTGTTGTTATTCTTGTGTAAAGAACGTTCGAACGTGCTTTGTGCTATCGGTCACGCGGTAAGAAAACACATGTAAATGGAATGGGAGTGTAGAATTTCAAAACGATACAGTCGTTGGCTCTAAATTACAATGCCATAACTTTTCCAACTAGGATGTTCATTGTGCGAATGAAATCCATATGAAATATTTGGTTCGTATAAGTATTCAGCAACGTTCATAGGTCAAAGAGTAATTGTTCTAATTTATCGTGTTACTTCGTTTAGGACATGCTTGTTCTATACATTCGCATTACGGTCCACATAGTATAATAAAACTACCATGCGCTTACGCTGAAATACAAACTTTTGTTTAGGATAATATTTTTTTTCGTAAATTCCAACTTTACAACAATATTCTCATGCAGCCGTTCAGTAGCACGTTTCAACCTTGCACTTTATTTGTTAGGCTAACAGTAACGTTCTGACGGCGAAACAGCAGTTTGCTAACTCCATTATTCCGTCTAAAACTATAATAAACTATTCGAGAAAAATATTTAAGAATTACCGTCCTGAATCTATTATGTAACAGCTACTACAAATTTTCAAATTTAATCGAATCAACACCCAAAAATCAATCAAGTTTAAAATACTAAAATATTGCATTATTAATAAAAAAATCCACTTTTTATCATATTATATAAAAAAAATAGAACACTTTTATAGAATTTAATAAACTGATGAAATTGTGACTAGCGTCAAACAGTTATTAATGATGTTTAACGTGATCAAATTTATTTAACAAGCCTATGTCTGGTGGAAATATATTTAAAGAATTATGAAATCACAACATGATGAAAGTTAATGTAATTCATTTATGAATCACGTTCACTTTTGACTAACGGTATGTTTTAAATGATGAGCATGAAACATTGTAATGTAAAAACTTTATTCAGTACTTGAATATTTTGCTGTATAACAGCAACAAGTACCAATAAAAATGTATTTATTTTTATATATTATAGCCTTTTTATTAAAATTTTAAAAATCAAAAGCTATCTTAAAATAAACATATTAAATTTTTTAAGTTTATTTGGCGTCTTTGTTTTCAACCAGTTATGGAAAACTAACTAATTAATAGACAAAACTATTATTTTAAAATATCAAAAAAATATTCAATTAATAATATGAACAAAATACAATTTAGGTAGTAGTTTAGTATACAATGTTTTAATATCAAATACTTCAATAATTACTATCATTGTAAAAAGTTACCAAATATAAATAACATGAGATGTGGAACTGTAGGATTCCGTCATATTTGTTGAATGAGTACATAGTATGTCATATTACATTATATTTTGTTAAAAATGTATGACCTAAGGTATTTTCAAATAAAAAATTACTATCACAATTTTAAAGTGTGTCAATACTGTCAATTTTCATTATAAAACATATAACACGAAATTCACATTATGAATGCGTATCTACATGTATAAATACTTGTACATATATAAATTCCAAAAACATTTGTAAAACTCAAAACATTTTAGGATAATATCGCTAGTGAATGAATACTACCAGTAAACGAATATTACTGAGTTTTTAAATAGAAACTTGTTTAATACGGTTTTAATAAGTTGTTTTTATCTGTCATTCATTGGAAAACTTAAATTTTCAACATGAGATAATAAATAAAAATATTTGTCTTAGTTAATTATAAATATTTTTATATTATTACAAGAGAATTTCCTAGACAACAAATATTTATTCACTTTATAAATGTGGCACCAAAATATAAATTACTAAAGAACTTTGAAAGATAAAAAATTTTTAATTGTTCATTTATTGATGAAGTTACCTTACAATAATAAAAGTATTGTATTTCTTTATTTAACATCTTGACATAATAGTTCTTAGAATTTTATGTGTCTGTAGCTTATAAATATTGAAGAATTAATTGATATTTCAAGATTTCAGTTAAAAATATGTTTTACAAATCTATCGAACCCTCTACCATCTACATGTAGAATTATGATAATCATAAAAAAATATTGATACCTTAAAACATACATTTAATTAACTTTTATGTTTAATAATGTAATCCTAAAATTTAAATATTAATGCATACTAATTTTTCTAGTAAAATTTATTTTGTAAAAGTACCATTGCAAATTTTTTTCAAAGTACACAAACAAAATAATTTCAATATATTTTTTTTTTCAGTAAAATTAATTTGTAGTGAATCTTAAATTCTCAATAATTTTTATATAGCTAAATGTCATCATATAAACAATATCAGAAAATAAGGTAACACAAATATTAAAAACCAAGAATGTTAAAAAAAACCTGTTTAAAATATAAGTAAACAATTTAAAAGTTTATAATATCCTAAAATATCAATGTAAATTTTGAAATGTTTGATATTTTAAACACTGTGTGTTTAAATTTTAACAACCTTGATAAAAATTATAAAAAATAAAAAAGGTATAAACTATAAAAACTCAACAGTTTTATAAAATTATTTTCTAATCACGTTTTATTTCCCCAAATTTAAAAAGTTTTATTAATTGTTTATTCAGACAGGAAAAAAATGTTTGTAAATAATAGAGTATGGCGTAATAAAAATATTATAAGTCTAATTAAACTAATTTCTCATAAATCTTTATAACGTGATTAATAAACTAAATAAAGACAAACGTATATAAAATATTTAAGTTAAAATTAAGAACAATACTCAATTTTTTGCCTCTATTTTATTACGCTTTTAGTATTTTAAAATTATTTCATTCTAAATATTCTGAGCTTGATTCATTTAAAATAATATATGATTATTGAACTATTTTTCATTATGACAATTCTTCCATGAAATCATTTTAATGCCGGCTGTCGTCGTGTACTGTTATACTCAATTAACCCGCACATAAATACTTTCGTTTAGTTAGAACATTCAGCTATTTTTGTCTACATTTATGATTTCTCAAAGTATAGTTTTTCTACGTTGTTAACGCTTATAATAACGTCATCTGTCCAAGTTATTAATTTAAATTTTAAAATCAGCTTTAATAATGATATTTTATTCAAACGTTATTTTATAAATGATGTTGCATAAATATTTAATACAACATTGACTTTAATTGTAATTTAACCACATAAACATTTCTCATTTTTCTTTTGGTTATTTGAATTATTTTAAATAGCACATTAACTGCTTCGTCATATAAATATTTTTATTTTTTGAAAAAAAAAGATGATTATTATTTTTGTAAAATTATAGATGAAGAGGATTTGTGGTGTATTAAGGCAAAACTAATACATTAATTTTAATGAGTCACAAAGCTTTTAATTTCGTTGGAACAGCTTGATTTATGTTATATTTTGATTAATTAAAATGCTTACCTTTAAATTACTTAAAGTCTCATTTATTTTACAACGTATCATTAATCATTTACTATTTACACGAGTAAGATAAGTACTGTAAGAAAAATGAAGGCAAAGCATATTATAGCATAATAAATTCAAATAAATCTTATTTGGCTATAACTGTTTACATAAAAAAACCAAAAATATTTGAGTAACTAAATTGAATTGATTTTCTGCTATTTTTGCAAATAATAATGCAAATACTATTTAAACATGTCAAATATAATCCGAGCATAATATTATATAAACTGTTTTCTATGTTTTAGATGTATATTCAATTGTGTGTACTTACATTTCATTAGTTGCCTTGATTGTTAAAACAGCTCACAGTTTATTTAACGCCTCACAAAAGTAATGTACTGCTCATGTAAGAAATAAAATTTGACTACGAGATACTTTTAATCACTCAATATAAATACTCTATTGTAATAAAACCGTTATGAGAGCACTACGTCGGGTAACGAGCGTAAACGAAAATCGTATGAGGATGATAACATCTGTCGTGAAAACGACTGTACCACAACACTGACTGTTCGAAACTACAGCGAACGTGTAACTGGAATCGCCGGTACATATAGCAAACCCCTGGCGCATGGCAGCTTGCTGCTCGTATCGACCCCCATTGATTCCAAACTATTTCAGACGCAGCTACCGCCGTCGTCGAGTTCATACTTATTACTCGTTATAGGCGACCAATACTTGAAATTTGAACAGATTTTTTTGTAAAACGCAGACGGATTTCGGATGCAATCGCATTACATAATAGTTACATTCAATTGATCTTAAGGGTTAAAATGAATAATTAAATCGCACAAGATTACCAATATGTAGATCAAATACCATTTACAAAAACTTTAAGAGTATTCTAAATTTTTCAACATTCATAGTCAATTAAGTATTTATTTAAGATAAAATTTAGTGAGAACCATTGAATTTTTTAAATAACATTTTGTGTAATGATTGTAATTGTGTAATTTTTTAAAATTCGGTATATTGCGAATATTTTCTATAAAAACATAAAATAGAATTATGTATGTATAACATTGACAATAATCGTATCATTCTGTTATTATATGTATAATAGTTGCACATCAAAGGCTAGTAAGAATTTTTTTATTGATTTTGAAAAATATATTCAGAGAACAATTATTATTTTGGTCATTTTGAAAGGCATCTGAGTTATATATACATACATCAATCATAGAAATAGTTTTCGTTTAGATGAGATAAACCCCTTAAGCTCCCGTAATTACTATACCCAAAGTTACAACATATGACAGTTTTCAAGCTTTTAACAAAAATGTATACTAACTAGTAGAGATTTCACAATATTAAAAATTAATATTATATTAATATGCCTTAAATCAGCTCCCTGATAATATTATAATATAATCCGAGAGTGAGAAACAAATAATGGTTACATTCAAAGTTATTAACAATATTTGGTTTAATATACAATATTAAGTAATTATTAGGTATGTAAAATATAATGAAGCTGTAAAGATTTATTTACTTAAACTTTGTCAAATTTAATTGTAGTTGACATATGTAAAATTATCAATTTAATAAAACTAGCCCAAAAAATTAAATGACATGGGTATATTAGCTTCGATGCGAATCTGAAAAGAAATTTATTTTTTTTTTTTTTTTTGTGCCTGTGAACGATCAATCTTAGCTCTCTCTNTTTTTTTTTTTTTTTTTTTTTTGTGCCTGTGAACGATCAATCTTAGCTCTCTCTGGACCGATTTTGATGAACAATAAGTCAAAAGATCACAAATTGTATCTAGTCGAAGACATTACCCTCAAAAATTGAAAAAAATTCCCTCATTCCCTGTAAACTGGGGAAATCCCCCAAAAAATTACAAATTTAAAAATCGCTAATTTTCAACATTTTTTCAATTTATTTTATTTAAAACTGCCATAACTTTTTCAAAAATAAACAAATCAATAACATTTTAGCTTCGATGCGAAGCTGAATTAATTTTACTATGATGTGTTTATTTTTTTTTTTTTTTTGTGTCTGTCACTACTTTTTCTCAGCTCTCACTGGACCGATTTCTTTCAAAAATACGTCAAAAGATCACAAATCGTATCTAGTTGAAGATATTACCGTCAAAAATTGAAAAAAATTTCCCTCGTTCCCCGCANGTATCTAGTTGAAGACATTACCCTTAAAAATTGAAAAAATTTCCCTCGTTCCCCGCAAATGGGGGAAATATCCAAAAAAATTACAAATTTAAAAATCGATAAATTTTGTCATTTTTCCACTTTTTTTTCTTAAAACTTCCATAACATTTTTAAAAATAAACAAATAAACATAATTTTTTTTTATACTAAAACCTTAGATATTTTCCTTTCATTTGATATCATTTTTTTGAAAATCTAACACTTAACCTGCTCATTTGGGGGGATTTAAAATAGGAACTTTTTTACAAAAACTAACTTTTTCAACTTAATTATTGAAAATGTTCCAGAAATACTGCGTCCTTTAAATATATATCAAATTAAAGCTTATTTTATGTAATACAAAATGAAAAAAAAAAATTTGTCCCGACGACCTATCTTTTATGCACAAATGGCGGCTACCGTATTCAAAAATATGCTATTTTTCTATTAAAATTCTAGGTTTTGTATTTTATTTTATTTTAAAATATCTTATTAGGGGAATACACAGACTTTCATGAATATTATATAATTTAATTAACATAGAATAAAATACATAAGACATAAGAAATTAAACTTATTTAATTTTTTTACTTTTTTAAAGTCCAAAAAGTAATTTTTAAATTTGAGTTAGCTTAAATAGCCAATTTAAGAGACGAAGGCAACGAACAGTTGCCAAATCGATAACACTTGTGTCTTTCACGCGTAGAGTACGAGGTTCAAATCCGACTGTGGCAATATATATTTTGCATTTTTTTTTGAGTTAGAATAAAATTTTCAAATCATATGCTATTTATCTCATTTAGATTCAATAACTTCAATAAATATTAAAGATCCCATCACTTTAGTCTCCCCTCGTGAGAAGAAATATCTTATTTNTATCACTATAGTCTCCCCTCGTGAGAAGAAATTGATATTCATGTTAATATTATTTTACTATGTGGTTCTTTTTGTGGCTACGATTTATTTTGCCAACCCTCACTAGACCTACTTTTTTCAACGATTCGTCAAATTATTACAATTTGTATTTAGTTTAAGTTATTACTCTTAAAAATCGAAAAAATATTCCTTATTCAAATAAAAAGTAGCTTAACCAGCTTTTTCCATACAAACAATTAAAATCATTCATTTCTAATATTTTTAAAGTATTTATTGTCTAATTAGATTTGATATGATAAAAGTATTCAACTACAAAAGTAAATAAATTTACTTTGTAATTTATTAATTTTTTAACTCTATTTGTGTGTGCTACTACCAGTCTACAATATTCCAAATTTTTTTGTAACATGTTGCTATATAAATCATAAATTTTTAAAAAAAAAGATTTTTAGTTTCACCTGAATTTAACAATGAATTTTTACAATTATAATCAAATTTTATAATACGTTTAATTGAGTAAATCTTTTTAAAAACTTTGTTTTGATTGATTCATTTAGTTAAAGTAAATCATTAAAATTAATTAAGTTCTCAATATTCCAATTGTAGAATCTTTTCAAACAATANAAGTTCTCAATATTTCAATTATAGAATCTTTTCAACAAACAACAAAAGTTCCTAGGAAATTATTACTATTACTTCTATTTAAGTTATCTATTACCATAAAAATGCAAAAAAATATTGAGCTTTTCTGATAAATTAACTATAAATAGTAATTATAAAATTTCCTGACTGCATATTAATCTTAACAATACAATTTTTTTAACTCTCATAAAATTTTCTATTTAATGATGTCAATGTCAAACTTGCCAATTGAGCTAAAAGTTAAGAAAAAATAAATTATATTTTTTTATTATAAACATTTATAACAATCAACTTTAAAGGATTAAAAAAATAGGTTAAATATGTCATTTTCCTTATTTTTAACATATTAATAATCAAAATCAGTATTAATTTAAAACAATTTTTTTTGTTCTTAATTATTTTTTTCATATGTAAATACTATTTTTTAATAATATTAAAACTTAAAAGTGATAGAAATAGTCTAATTGCACATTTGAAAACATCGCGAAATGTTGATTTAGAATATTATATTTTTGTTTCTGATGAAAGTTCCTTGTAGTACAGTGTATAAAACTTATTACTTTGTTAACTGTTAAACTTTATCAAAAATGACCAAATCAGTATAATTTTTTTTTTATATAGGTGCATGTTTTTTATCTATCATTTGGTTTTTTTTTTTATAAATCTAACCCTTTACCTGCCCACTAGAGGGATTCAAAATAATAACTTTTTTTTTTTTTAGTTAAAGTAAATCATTAAAATTAATTCAGTTCTGGATATTTTAATTGTAGAATCTTTTTAAATACCAAAAATTACTTAGAAATGATTACTATGATTTCTATATAAGTGTTCTATTACGATAAAAATGCAAAAAATAATGAGTTTTTCTGATAAATATACTGTAAATAGTAATTATAAAATTTCCTGACTGCATATTAATCTTAAAAATTGAGTAAATCTTTTTAACAACTTTATTTTTTATTTATTAGTTTTATTAATTCATATTTCAATTGTAGAATCTTTTTAAACACCAAAGGTTACTAAGAAATGATAACTATTATTTCTATTTAAATTATCTATTACGATAAAAATGCAAAAAAATATTGAGCTTTTCTGATAAATTAACTATAAATAGTAATTATAAAATTTCCTGACTGCATATTAATCTTAACAATACAATTTTTTTAACTCTCATAAAATTTTCTATTTAATGATGTAAATTTCAAACTTGCAAAATGAGCTAAAAGTTATGGTATTTAATTAATTTTTTTTACTATAAACTTTCACAAAAATCAACTTTAAAGGATTAAAAAAATAGGTTAAATATGTCATTTTTTTTTTAACATATTAAAAATCAAAATTAGCAAAAATTTGAAAACAAATTTTTTTTGTTATTTTTTTATATGTAAATACTTATTTTTTAATAATGAGTAATAATATTAAAACTTAAAAGTGATAGAAAAAGTCTAATTGCAGATTTGAAAACATCGCAAAAAGTTGATTTAGAAAAGTATATTTTTGTTTCTGATCAAAGTTCCTTGTAGTTTAGTGTATAAAACTTATAACTTTGTTATAAGTAACAAAAATTTTTATTGAAAAATATTGTATCAAGCCCTTTAAATTTTTATACGCGTTAAAAGTAAAGAAATATACAACTACATTATTATTTTTATAATATCTTCGAAAAAATTACAATATTCAATTATTGAATATCAATTTCATACTAAATTTAATTACTTTAATTATTATTTATTCATATATTA